AGTGGCCACAGATAAATGCAGATATATTTCATACGGCAAACAGTTGTGGAAAATGTCACAACTGGGAAAGTCAGCCTTCGAAGTGGACTGTATCGTCCGAGGTCTGGTAGAGAATTTGTGCAGAATATTGTGGTTCATTTTCTGGCAAATACTATGCACTTGTAGTCATTGATTTTTTTTTGAAGTAGCCTGAATTTTTTCCAAACTTCACCAGGCCCCCTTCTTCTAATGGTCAGGCAGAAAAGTTTGTCAGGACGTTGAAAACTGCTATTGATTCTATTGTTGTTTTAACATTTAATGAACTGGGGAGAAGAGTAGATATGTATCTACCGCACTGGAAAAATGAATTTCCAAAGACAAACACACAGGTTGTAACAGAAGAAATGCTATGAAAATCCCTTTGAGGTGTTTTATTGGACAATATTATTACTTATTTATTATTCCCCTTATCTTGCATATTAACTTTGATTTAGGTTCGCCATACCACGTTTTATATTCTTCAAACTTCAATGTTTATGACTTTAAGATTTAGCATGAGTTAAGACTTACTTTTATGATTCGGTTTTGTCGTTGCATGTTGCCGGGCTATTAATAACAATGTCGCGTTTGACTAAGTTCCAGGTTACGGTTTGGTTCGGTTGATGATTGTTGACTTCTAACTGCCTGCTGGAAACATTTACTCAAATCCTTGAGGATAGATATTTGATCCTAACTATGTTTTGAGTAATGTTACTGATTTTCTGGAGTCAAACACCCATTAGATTAAGCAAAACTTTTGTGCTTTTAATGCTATACAGGAGAAAGCTGTTCGGTTCCATCGAATAAACTTTGGTTTTTTAACTGGGTTCAGACCAAGGACTGTAAATTTGGTAGATGCATGGGTTACTGGATAAATTTATTTTCAGCTAAGTTCCGAAGCATACCAGATCTGAATAGAGGACTAAGACATTTTTTTAGAATACGTACAAATATTTTACAGAAAACCCCAAAAACCTGTACTTGTTAAAACTTCAAGGGTATTTTTAAGAAGGCATTCAGTTAGTTGCTGTGTACGAATTCTTTCATGCATTCGATTAAGGTTTTCTATGTGTATATCTGGTTGTTTAAATGCATTCAGTCTTCAGTAATGAGAATAGATCAATCGACCGATATTAATCATTGTAATTTGCGATACGGTGAGAATCTTATCTCATTTTGAATGTATTAGAAGAAGGTGCTCATAATAAGTATTCTGCTGTGGAAATCTAGTACTATTAGTACTACTCCATGAGAGAAACTGAACTCAAGACTTAAACGACCTAGATCTGCCTTCATACTTGAAACACATTTTTTGAATTCAACATTCCAAACGCAGTCCCACAAACATTGAGTTAGTACCCTGAACATTTTTCCATCCAAGTCACGTAACGATTTACGAATAGCCATTAAGACTCAAAAATCCTTAGCAGCAACAGGCTTACAGTTACTCATAGTCTTTGATCATTATGATTCTAAGGCACATTACTTTAAGTTAAACCATTTCATTTATTGCGTAGTTCGTTATTTACATCACTAGACTTTTGCTAGAATTAACTTCTAATAACCACCTGTACATTCATTCAACCAGTGGATTTAGATCGTCCTGTAATATTGTGTCGATTGACCGTGAAAAATTAGAGCAGTAGCTTTGACACAACTAGTAAATCATTTACATTAAGTAAAAAGGAGGTCAGTATTGTATCTTGAAGAACTTCCCACTACATCCAAATCTATTATACAGTTTGGGACAGTATGTAGCCGAGACAGGAGTCTATATTTGAAAGTTCAGACTCCTCCTCCTCATTCATGTCTCACCTCACATGTATCTGCTTTCTGTTGTCTCTCCTAAGCTTTACAAAGGCAGTTTCAGAGAGATGCAGAAAACCTAACATAATGACCAAAATATAATATTTGGTGTGAAAAATTATCCAACAAGATCACGAGTAATTTGGTTAGGTCAAATAACTATGTTCAGTATAGGATGCGAAGTTTTCTTGGATCAAAAATACAAATTATCTCATAGCAAATTACTACACAGTAAAAGGTGGTTTCCAAATACAGTTGTTAAGTACTTGGGAATCAACAGGAATGTTCCTAGTATAATATAATGATAATTACGTTCGATAGAATCAAGGCAGTCAATAAACATTTTGAGAACTAGAACTGTTATGGATAGACTGAAATGAAGTCTCTTAATAGGAAATTCGTTAGATGGAATCAACATTATTACGTTCGTTTTAGTTCATTTTAATGAAATTTGATAGTTTCTTCAAGAAACCATTATTTATTATGCCAAGTTTTAGCTTGAAAAGTGGTCTACACACAATAATTACATTTTAATATAACACTTGATTCTAAAACTAAATGTTTCCCAACAGTTTGACAAACAATTGGTCGTTACCATGTCAGAGAATGAACTAACTCATTAAAGGAAAGTAGATCAAATAAGGACAAATGAAATGATCACCTGATATTTTACTATGAATTAATTCTATTCAATAAAATATAAGTAGTTTAAAAAAAGGTAAACTTCAATAATTTACGGGGTTTCCCATTTTACTAACTACTGTTTTATAACTTTGTTTTAACCAAAAAAATATGATAATGGTAATTTGATGTCGCTATTTTTGCGGAAAAAAGGGTTTTAAAAAGTTATTTCGAAAGATGCTTATGATAATTTGTTTTTGCTTTTTTTTTTAACCAACTTAATCAGAATAAAGCATACTTCTTAGAATAGAGAATTCTAGATTTATAACTGTCATTGTAAATATAATTAATTTGAAACTTTTGCACTGCTATTCGCTTAACACTATTCAAAGTGATTTATAGGCTGATTTTTAGAATCAGAAGGGGTTTTGTGGAGATTGTAGTAATTTCAGTAGTTGAGATCATAAGTAACTGAAGTTAGACCACCATGAAATTATACATTAATGCCATTGGATGCCGGCTCAGTGGTCTAAGTGTTAAGCATTCGTGTGCGGGACTGATTGGCCCTAGATTCGAATCCAGCGAGGTGCGGTCGTGGATGCGCACTGTTGAGTTCCACAATAGGACGAAACGGCCATCTAGTGCTTCCAGATTTTCCATGGTGGTCTAGCTTCAATTGACTCATGATCTCGACTATTGATTTTTAAAAGTTAACATTTTCAATAGACCAATAAAAGTTTATTAACACTGTATAATAAACTAATTATACTTTTGTGTAGAGTATTTGGCGAGACTATAATTTATGAACGAACCAATCAGATATAAAATAACGAGTCACGAATTTTGGCGCGAAATTCATCCATACATTTGGCTAAATAGCATTTTGGCATTATAGCGGATGTCTACTCATGATGAAAACCCTAAATCAAATTTTTAGCCTTGACCATCAACTGTAAATGAGAATCCTAAGTGCTTTATAACCCTCATTTAGTCCTAATCAGTAGGTGTCCACTCTCAAGGTCACTTCAGCGTCGCTCAAAGGTCGTCCATAAATTATAGTCTCACCGAGTTTATTCTCAATGTTGACAACTAATTTGAAAAAGATATAATTGTAATCTCGCAGTTTAAGCTACTTTTTATAATTCAGTCCATTTGATAGTTTATGGAGAAAATTATACACTTCAGTCAAAAGACGTAAACTTATTTAAACATATGCAAGAAATAGTGTAGTGAACAAGCACACAAGTGGAGACAATCAACTGTATTTCAACACAAAGTTACAGAACGTCTTACTAAAATCTAAGAACCATACAGTACCTACTTAATTTGTAAAATATCAATCCATTGTCTCAAACTTGATTGTTTCTTTTGCAAATATCATTCCATTGTCTCAGGTTTCATTGTTCCTGTATTTTCATACCAATTGCTTTCCGTTCCAATTTTTCCCTTCTCAATCTTCTACTGAAATACATTCTATTCCTAACCCTCATTATATACTACTTATGTAAATATAAGTAGCTCACATCACAATGGAAGTTACTTGTAAGAAACTATACCTTACTACTATAATGAAAAGAGTAGAAGTTATGAAAAAAATGTTTTTTTAAAAACACCGACCACGTTATAATTTCATTTGAATTTCATGGAATTCTATATAAGATGATGAAGATTTATAAATCAAATGGATAATTTTATTGCAGTTTTTATTATCAGAAGGGGGGTTTCCTGGAGATTTTAGTAATTCCATTCGTTGAGGTTATGAATCAATTGAAGCTAGACCACCATGGAAAACCTGGAAGTATTAAACGGCCCTTTCGTCCTATGGTGGGACTCCTCAGAAGCGTTCACTAGTGACTGGCTTCAAGATGTATATCCTGGAGTTCTACTGAGGGTTCAACCGGGTCAGTTGTGGAATAGTAACTCACTGATGACAATGGTAGATTTGTCGCTCAATTTCGTGGATTAGTTGAAGTTAGACATTAATACCATTGAATGCCGGCTCAGTGGTCTAGTGGTTAAGCGCTCACGCGCGATACTGATAGATCCTGGTTTCGAATCTTGGGAGGCGTTGTCGTGGGTGCGCACTTCTGAGGAGTCCCATACTACAACGAAACAGTCGTCCAGTGCTTCCAGGTTTTTCATGGTGGTCTAGCTTCAATTGACTCATGATCTCAACAATTGAAGTTTTTATTGTTTCATAATCATCAAGCTATCCGGACCAAAGAATAAAACTTTATCAAAATTCTATATAAAATTTATGTATTCATAGCTTATATCTGAAATCAATTTGAATCAATCTAAAAATGATTCAATACACTTATAAGGTCTATTATTATTATTTACACAAATAACAAATCATATGAAAATATTCCCCCTCCCCTCCAAGAAAAAAAAACAAAAACTAAAGCAAAATACATTTACTTATCTAATCATCAATAAACACATTTGTATTCATTTAGTCATATTTCCATTGAATAGTTACTCTTGTTTATTACATCAATTTAATTACTATACTGTTTTTTTTGTTTTCATATTCATGAATAAATCCTTTATATTTATTTATTATTTTCCCATAAATCTTTTATATATTTCATATATAATTGATTATTTGGCTTAACAACAATTTTATTATTATTTCTATTATTATTATTATTATTATTATTATTATTATTATTATTATTATTATTATTATTATTATTAATCATAAGTGAATATGGATTAGAACGCCAAAAATTATTTTCTTTAAGAAAATAAATTACTTGAATTATTTTTTCAGATGATGGTATTTTATTATTATTACTGTGTATAATGGCATTGAATACAACTGATTCTGAATGAATCCAATCAATAATTTCATCAAATAAATCTGTATTCTCTTTCCATATAGTTTTACAGATAGACTTCCAATAAAAGGTTTCTATTAACATATCTATTGTATTCATTAAATCTCTCTTTTTTTTTAAGTATATTTAATTATTTAAAATTAAATTGATTAATTCAATATTGAATTGATTATTTTATTGATAGATTAAATAAATCAATAAATGTATCATTCTTAAAATTGCATAATAATTAATTATTATTTTATTAGTAATAAACATAATGGAAAATGATATGAATAAAGAAAGAAGTCTTGATAAATTATATAAGCTTTTTTGGGGGGGGGAAATAATTCAGAAAGGTTTTAATATTCATAAAGAAAGATTGACAATAGAAGCCTTGTATATATGGGCGAACAAGAACAGCCTGAACTGAAAAGATGGTAAATTTTGTTTGACAAGTAATTTGAACCCTATCTTTATTGAACCTGTTTATTTTACATGAATCGTTAATTTTGACTGAATTCAATGAGATTTCAGCAATACAATTATTAGAATGGGTTGTGTGGAGATTTTAGAAATTTCACTGGATGAAATCATGAGTCAGTTGAAGCTAGATCACCATGGAAATCGGGATGCGCACTGCTGAGGAGTCTCATACTGGGACGAAACGGCCGACCAGAGCTTCCAGGTTTTCCATGATGGTTTAGCTTCAATAGACTCATGATTTCATCCAGTGAAATTATATATTTGTTTGATTCATTAACAATTTTTCAACCTTGAACTCATCCTTTTATTTATTTATTCTTTCATAAATAACATATTAACACAGAATAGCAAATATTAATCTCACACTTACATACATACATGCACACTCACACACATACAATTTGATGTTGTTACAGATAATTATTTCCATGCAGCTGAATTTTTCACATGATTTATGGTTAACTGACTCATTTTATCCTATTTTACAAAAATCAACATCCAAATATTTGATTGGTATAACACAGTATAGTTTTGATTGTTAAAAAGCTATATATTTCTTTGATGATTTTGATTTTAATTATTACCCTGAAGAAGTCCAGACAACTTAGCTGAACGAAACGTTGAAATTATTTTAATTTCAATCACTGAGATTATTTCAAATATAATTTTCACATATTTTTTGAGAAGTTATTTCATTTAATTCAAAGTTTATAAAATAGTAATATTTATTTTTACCCCTAGTCTATTCTACAGATTATAAGTTTTCGTTTGATATATGATTCATTGGCATAGTCTTTTCTAAAGCTTTTGTACTCTATTTTCTTCAGTTTTGGACATAATCGTGTTTTCTTAATTGGTGTGCGTTGTGGTCTGGTTAGTCAACTATTTATTTATGTACTTTTTTTTACACGAATCTAAAATCGGGAACCAAATCGGAATTGGAAATAAACTGAGTAATGTTCTAATTGATTTGTCTTCTCTCATTTGCATGTTTGTCAGCCAATCAGGTGATAGAATAGTCTCTTTACCACAAGCAGTTGGTCTCACTTCGAACTGAAGTATACAAGCCTCAAGGTTAAGTTAGTTAACTTAACACGTCAAGGTTTTATTTCAGATTAGACAAGTTATCCTCTGCACAAAGGTGGATAGACAGATCAGGGACGTAACAGAAACTAAGCCTATTTCTTATATATGTAAATTATATTTGAAATAATCTCAGCGATTCAAATTTAAATTTCAGATGTATTCAATTTTTATTATATTTCACTGAAATACCAACGTTCCATTATAAATTTAATGAAAACTGCAAAGATAATAAATTTTGTGTAGCGTAAAACTATAAATTTTGAAGTGTTTGAACAAAAATATAGTTAGAAATTTATTCAAGTCCTATATAACAGGATAATTGAGAAGATAATTCATTGAGTAGAAACTACTAATGTAATGAACGAGAACATAAGTAAGAACAAATGAATGTATTTGAATGCAAAATTACAAAACATCTTGGTAAAATCTGAGAACTATACAGTAAATACTTAATTTGCAACGTGTTAATCAATTGTCTCAAACCTAATTGTTCCTTCATTTCTGTAGCAATCATACTCTGTTCTCGTTCTCTTTTTTTCTATCTTTTTAACCTTCGGCCACCAGCCATTTCACTTTCAAATGATGAGACATACTACTTATATTTATCAACGTCAGTAGCGGCGTTGGCTATAGCAGGTGCTGTCGATGAAGAGGAGCGATGGGACTTCCGGCTGCTGAGTGGAATGTGTATGCAACATAATGACTTAAACTAATGAAAATGTGAGAACTCAGAACACCGAAAATGTACATATGTATTATATAATTCTAAGTGAATGTAATTGCTGCTGAATGTATATTGGTGGAGTGGCTTTAAGTATATATATATCAGAATACATATATTATGATATTTAGCAAAATCCCATACGATCACACTAATAACACTCACTTATAAGGTGGATAATAGGACGGGATGGTTTTCAACTATCCTCTAGTTATGAATAAATGTCCACCTGTCAACTATCTTTAAACTATACAAGTTAATCCACTATACACTAAAACTATTCGAATTAGTAGCAATACGAAATGTAATATACGAACCAGTAATTTCAAAGTCGATCCAAAACGTACTCTACTAGCCATGAATAGACCAGTACTTAGGTAAGATTGTGGAATAGGAAAAACGCACACAACAATATATAAATCAATTATCACTACATACAAACATTGAATACACTTAAGTAAACAATAAAGGATTTTCTATTTAATTTTCCTTGTGGAGTGACGTCGGCAAATAGTCTTACAAAGTTCTTGAGGAAATATATGTAAACATATATATCAATCTAGCATACCGATCATATCATATTATTTTCATATTGAAAAATCCACAATGAGTGTTTTATAAGCAAAGATGGATGGTGTCTAGCAGTAGAAACCAGGACGCGCGTTTCGTCGTATTTGGTACTCTTCGGCTAGATAAACCTACATCCCAGAGTTGATGTTCACTCCGGGACTCAAATCTAGTACCGTTCGCATCAAATGCCAACGCGTTATCTACTTAGCTAATGAGTCCTGATAGCCACTTGCTTGTGCAATTGGGTGGATTTTAAATTCACTTGGTATCATTTGCATGTATCTTCCCATTGTTGTTTAGGACTGTAATTGATCAGTCTCTTGTTGGCATATGTGCCTTAAATCACAAGCTTTATAAGCAAAGAAACTGATCAATTGCAGCCCTTGGCAACAAATAGGAAGATACAAGCAAATAATACCAAGTGAAATGAGTGTTTTATTTTAATGTTTATCAAACGGATCTTTTGTAGCAGATAAATCTAGATTTTCAGTGTTAATGATTTTAGACTATCATCAATTACAATATCAGGGATTTAGTGATTTGATTAAATCGTTTCAAACAGTTAACATCAAACAAAACTATTCTATTTATGATTTAATTTCTAATGGTTTGGATTATCCCGTTGTTGATATTTTGACTGATAGTTGACCATTCTTTGTTGAAATATGTGAGGATTGCCTAGATATGGCCATTTTGGCACAGGTTTATGTAGAATAGATGGAATGTGGATAATCGATCTAATTATACTCAAAATATCAACAGTGGGAAAATCCAAATTTAATAAAAAAATTATACCCGTCGATTAAATGAGAAGCTATCGGAATTCAGTAGCTAAGTGGGTAACGCGTTTTTTAGTTAGTTTCGGAGAGTGAACAGTTCTGGTACGATTCAGGCACTCAACTGATGAGCCTCGAAGAGGACGAAACATGCTCCACGAGTCCCATTGCTATCCACGTCCCACCTAATCTAAATAACCGTATATATTTTGAAAATTGATAGTACAAATAAGTAGATGGATTTATTCATTGCAGTTAATTTGAAATATTACTGATTAGGAAGTAGTTTTGATTGATGCGAGATAAATTATCAGTGATTTGACTGTTTTATCACATCATCTGTAAATAGACGGAATGCTTGAGTACCTGGGCTACCTGTTCCTGCCATCTAGATATTTCAACAAGCTATCTGTCTTTCGTTTGTTTCAACAGATCATTATGTCAATCAATTGTGCAACCTACTCAGTTGCATTTGTGAAAAGTTCACGACCTTTCACTGTACAAGTTAGGAATGAGCAAAATCAGAGATATTGTGATTACTGGCAATATACATCGAGAAGAATGTACATTATTCAGATGTCAATTCCTGAACTGCTAACTTATAACTGGCGAAAACTCTCTACTTATTGTCAGGATCGATCAAGAAATAAGAAACGGAAACTTGTTGAAATAATTTGCGCTGAGAATTTCATATTGTACCAAAAATATAATACTGAATAAAGCTAATAATAATAATAATCTTTACAAACAGTATAGCCAGAACAGAAGTGTCGATAAAACATCTAACAGACGTCAACAAGTAGGCAACAGTCAAGTATAAAGAAGGAACGAATCGAGCGAAAAAAAATGTTATCTTCAATGCGTAAATTCTACTTTTTCTATCATGATGACTTAGATTACGAGGTAAACAAACATAAATGTAAGCCAAAAATATTGAGCTGGTCACGTGTCATTACTAATTAGTGGAATGGAACTTCACTGTATTCAATATTAACACTGAACAACTTGTTTATTTCATTAGTACCTTAATTGTTGTAAGATTTCGAGATGATGAAAAATGGACGCAAAGAAAACATTATTTTGGCTGTTGGAAACAGGTTATCTGATATGGTCCAGGTACTACACACTTGCAGTTAATGTGCATGATAAGTTAAAAGGAAGTGTATATCATGAAAAGATTTTGAAGACTACTCAACTGTCTTACCGAGACAATATATTTAATTTTCACCAAACTGGATGTATTATGTGTGACTTTATTTGTTTAATTGAAAAAGTATCAACAAAACGTAACCGTGAATACAATTTTGTGATAATTACTGGTTTCCAGATTGTAGTAAAACGAATCATACACAGTACGGACGTTGTTTTAACAAACTATGAATACCAGATAGTTGGTATATCGGATTTATTAACTAAATAAAATGATTAATTTAATCACTGTTAATACAAACAATTGTTCAGTTTATGGTGCTGAACTGAAGTGAATC